TTTATCACACAATTGCTACTAGTCTGCAGTTGAAAATAGCCTTTATGTACTCTGAGTTAGCTATACACAAGCTCTGTGGGTGGTTGCTCCACAGAGACCAGACAGGACAAAATAAACCTGAAACTTCAGACAAGCACCTAGAAGTACAAACAATAGAGGCTTCCTGATATACATCCAAGAATATACACCCACCCCTTAAGAAAACTGACCATATTGCTGGCATAATAGCCATAGTTTTACAGTGGATAACCATAGGTAAAACAATCATCACTACTTTTAGATCACTGTGAAGTTTCTACAAAACCATAATTTTTTTCCCACGTAAAACTCCAAAAATGTACCTATAGGTACAAATCACTACAGTTTCCAGGTGAAATGAACATCCACTAGTGGCAGTAACACACCAACAACCTTTTTTTTTTACACAAATTATAAATACAGGGGCAGATTATTGATTAATAGATGGCAATGGCAAATTTATTTATATAGCACCATTAATTACAACCCATGGTTGTCCAATGTGCTTTACAAAAAAATTTAATGAAAACACAAAAACACATTTACTTAAAAATACACAAAGTATAATAAAAACAATAAAATGTAAGGCAGGAGAATGTTAATTTAGATTATAAGCCTTATCAAACAAATACGTTTTTAAGATAGATTTAAAAGCAGATACAGAGGGGGCAAGTCTGATTGTGATAGGTAATTCATTCCAGAGTCTGGGGGCAACTACAGAGAATGCACGGTCACCTCTGTGCTTATACTTTGACCTAGGAATAACCAACAATAAAGATTTTTTTTTTTTTTTTTTTACAGCTCCTTGAATAATACTTATGTTATGGCCTCAAAATGCTTGTACCATAATGCGTGATTTGTACAGCAATACATTTTCGTAATACACGTTTGCATCACATAGCCAACTGCATATGTATGGATTTTCTGATGTAGTAAACTTGCTCAGTAGCGCACCTTTTTACAGCTCCTTGAATAATACTTATGTTATGGCCTCAAAATGCTTGTACCATAATGCGTGATTTGTACAGTAATACATTTTCGTAATACACGTTTGCATCACATAGCCAACTGCATATGTATGGATTTTCTGATGTAGTAAACTTGCTCAGTAGCGCACCTGGTACAGCACTGCTACGAGTCCCGTGAAAGACAATGAGTCATGATAAAACAGCTCAAACACTTGTAAAGTCGACTGAAAATGTCATGGTTGCTTCAGTTTGTATCTCATGTTTGCTTTTAGGGTACGGTTTATTGTAGCTGGTATGTTATTTTCAAATGCGATAGAGCATTAATTCTTTGAGCTCCACTCACTGGACATTTCATTTCCAAATTGATGCAATACATACAACGACAAATGGAACAAAATGTTGCCAGATTCGCACGCTTCCGTTTCGGATCAAACTGAACACCGTTTTAGCACTAGTTACTAAATATTTCACTTTGCAAGAAGCAGCGTAATATCATTTTGCAGCAATGTTGCCAGGCACCACTAATTTGTATTTATTATAAAAGAAATAAAAGCTTAAGCACATTTAGAACTATAACTGCATCTGCCATTACTATAATAAAAATGAAGACGATTATTTAGCAGGAACAACATTTGCACCAAAATGCTAGTTAGTGCTGATAATAAGGATAAGTCAGATGGCTTATCCCTTCCAAACATTTACCATAGTTTCCTGTCAAACTAGCACAGTTCCTGCAGTTATATTGCTACGGTAAAAGCATACAAAATGATTGTGGCCTCTCTTTTAAACAGAGTAGGAGGCTTTCAGAATCTTTCTGGCAAGGCAAATAGTGTACCAGCCTAACCACAGTTTTATTGCTCTATCAACTGCAGTAAGCATGGTAGGCTGTTTCATTGTAAACTATAGTTACCATGGTAAATGTCTGTAAGGGATAATTAAAGGACATGCAGAATATGATAGCATTTGTGAAGGTACAATTAAGGCCAAACTTGCAGACGTTGTACATTTGAGTCTGCACGTGTGTTTGGATAACTAAAGACCGTGGCTCAGCTTAGCTGAATGAAAGCGCAGGGTCTTTTTCTTGGCCAGCGTGACTGATTTTGTTTTAAATGAACTGTGGAGCATTAGAAAATGGTTAAATAGTGTTTAACCAGCTGCCAGTGTGTTGGGGAAGCTTTTAAGCACAGTTCACTTGTTTAACTTGGAATTCAACTAAACTTCATAAACAATGAACAATGTTAATGCTAACCAGTGCATTAGATAACACTGAACACTGAAAGATAATGGGATTGATGACTGTACTAATACAAAACAAAACCATCCATAGGCACATTTACCAAACAGTTTATCGCTTCCCTATTCTCCTTACTTCTGTTTCAGACAACGACGTTTGGCTTTATTCTTGCTATAATCTATATGTTGCAAGTAGGTAATGATAACATTATAAGAGTAACTTTGGGAATTGAATAAATGAGAGCCTGTCAATCAGCTGTGGTTGAGATGAACACAGTGCTAAATGTGGTAAATAGTATTCACAACATTACTATTGATTCTATGTGCATTTAGAGTACATATCCACTATTGATGTCAAATTGCTGTAAAAGCTCACATTGAATACAGTGAAAAGTCCTCTTAAAACACATTTTTCACAGTCTCATTAGTTTAATATAAACTACTGCTCAAAAGTTTGTGGTCGGTAATTTTTTTTAATGTCTCTTACGCTCACTAAGGCTGCATTTATTAAATAAAAAATACAGTAAAAAAGATATAATATTGTAAAATATTATATTAAATAGAATGTTCAAAATAAAAGCCTTTATTTGAAACATAATTTTTTACGTGTAAAAGTCTTTACTGTAACTTTTGTAACTTTTAATGCATCCTTGCTGAAGAAAAGCATTCATTTAGTTTTAAAACCTTACTGAATCCAAACTTTTGAACAGTAGTGCACTCGCTATCACTGTCCCAAACACAGAAACCCAAACCTAAGTGTATTTACAAAGAAACTACTATTTGCTACAACAAACCCAAACTCAACTACTAAAACTACAAAACTACTAACACCAATAAGCAGAGTCAGCACAATCAAGTACTTTATACGTTGTTAGAATGATCTGAAACATCTGCTGACATCTCATAAAAGACACTTCCCTTTTCCTTACATTTGTTATTGTTCCTGTATGGAGAGGCAGGAACTCAATCTTTGACTTCACCCAGTACACAACATGGCCACCATTAGTCCTCTGTTAAACACTGGAGTATTTGAGACAGAAGACTAATCACCTCAACAGACTGTAGATGGATATGGAAGAACCAAGGGGGAGCCCTAAACACCCTACACACACAAATACATCCCTACCAAAAACTGTACTGAGGAACAGTGTACCATGATATACGTGTAGTGATGGTATCAGATGTTGATGGTATGTTGATATACCATAGTTCCATTTCAAATGCCATGGTATACACACTACTTCAAAGGTACTTTAAAGAATACAGTAGTATTACTATGATGCATGTCCAGTTCAGGGTTGCTACATTTGACCAATCAATTTCAATAACTTTTATAATTTATGTATTTTACAGAGATTGTAATCACAAAGTGGAATTTCAAGCTGATAAAATACCAACATTTTTTATTGTTTTATTCATTTCCATGACTTTTTAAGCCTGGAGGACACCGTTTTAAAATTATCTAATAATTCCAAGTTTTGCAAATAAATTTGTTACTGGTTGACTGTTACCTTGTCAAAAAAGGTGTAGACATTGTACATATCCAAAAATATGGCACTACTACGGTTTACGTACAAAATATATATGGTATTACTATAGTACATTATCAAAAATTTACATTGTCATGATATATTTATTTAAACTAGTTTTAAAAAATTATATGATCAGTAAGTTTTAAGGATGTATTAAATCAATCAAAACTGACAGTAAAGAAAATAAAGATAATTTCAAAATATTTCTATTTAAAAGAAAATTCAAAATAATAATAAGAATTTTTTTCTTGAGCAGCATATTAGTATGATTTCTGAAGGATCATGTGACACTGAAGACTGGACTAATGGATGCTGAAAATTCAGTATTGCCATCACAGGAATAAATTACATTTTAAAATGTATTCAAATAATAAACAGTTATTTCAAACTAAAAAAATAACACAATGTTACAGTTTTTTCCACATTTTTGATCATATAAATGCAGGTAAGAGCACAAAAAGAGCATAAAAGACTTTTAAAAAACACCAAAAATCACACAACCCCAAACTTTTCAACAGTAGTGTAAATCCAAAAAGACAGCACATGTCCAAAAAACACGACGATACTATGAAACTTTTAACCATTTTTTAGTGATAGACACAATGTAAATAAACCGGTACTGTACCAATTGTACAGATATGTTCATAGACACATGCTTACACTGCAACTAAATGTGCACAGTCATCTCAACCCTACACACATCCTCACACAACAACATACACACTCTTTCTTCCAGACTTTACAGAGGGGCCTCGCTGCACCTGAAGGGTTGGCTGTGAACGCTGTCTTTCCTCCCTTCTGCTTCCAAAGCAAATATTGTTATTGGCGACGGTATCCTCAGAGCTCTGTCGCAGAGCTAGACTTTAATTTGTAAAATACACCCATAAATGTCATTCAGCATAACCACTCGGCTCCAGCCTGTAACGCATGCTACATTAAATAGCATTAGACTTTCATTGCATTCTTTCTTCTCCTTATTATTCATTCTCCTCTAACTTGCTACTGCTTTGGGAATAAAAATGCACCATTATTAACGTGTCATGCTAATAAAGCACATTTAAAAGTGAGAAAGAGGGCGAAAGAGGGAGAAATAGGCGTGTAAACGTAGCCCTGGCTTGCATAAGACCGACATTAAAAAGACATTAAACTCAGTTCTGAGGTGAATACCCATTACCTGAGAAAATAACATAAAAGTAAGAGAAGTTAGACAGAGAGAGAGTTTGCAACTGTTAAACTTAAGCAAGCCTACCTGAAGGTCAAAGAATTTACTGTATCTTCTGTAGATGATGTGGGATGTGGAGTCAGAGTATGTGACATTGATGAGATACACCTGAAAAGAGAAAAAAGTCAAGGAAGGCAATTAGAATCTCTACAATTCATTCTACAGTTTAGTTACACATTTTGGTATAAACTATGATGATTTCAGTAAAACGATTGCTTCTAGCTATGCAAGTCACTACGCTCTGAAATGTGTCAGAAAGCAGTTCAAAGTTTTAAATATGCAAATGTACTTTATTTAACCCAATTTAAACCCAGTTTATTTCAATTTAACCAAAGAGCGAGATATGTGATGATGACTTCACAGCACTGAGTGGTCAGGAAACGACACTGTATAGTCAGGGACAAGTATTTCCTGTACGTATACAATTCCTAACAAACCCAGCTCTATTGTCCTGCAACAAAAATAAAGATCAGAGGTTTAGTTCCTCCACAAGGCCACCAACAGACAATATGACATCATGTGGAACAGAGCGCTCAGAGATGAGGGGAACTCCTGTTCGCAGGAATTTCCCCCTGGATGGGACACTTGCAGGGTGCCTGCCCTGCACCCCACTCAGCAGTGGATGGGACAGCTTCCTCTGTCCTCTAAACACAGGACATGCGTGATCCGTCTTTCGTGACACACTGCCATGTTAAAATCACTCCTAATAAAGACTACTGTTTTTGAGGTTTGAATGACATTGTATAAAAAAAAAAAAAAACTTATTCCGTCTACTTGTACTTATCAAACATATGCATGTATATACTGTATGTATACTGCATATGAAATTCAAGAAAGAATCATGATTTTTAGCATTATATTCTGACCACAGCTCTCTAGAATCAATCCTTCAAATAAATTGCCCCACCAACTGTGGGCTGCAGGACAGTGTGTTGACAACATCTCTCCAGGGTGTAAACTCAGTCACATCAAACCTGTTCAAGGTCTTCTCCAGTGTGAGCAGCATGTATGAGCTGATCCTGGAAAGAGAAGTGTCTGGAAGCTGCATTTGTGACACTTGGGATCTAACAGCTTTGGAGGTTTGCTGTGATCTTTAGTGATCTCCTGTCAACCCCCAACAAGCTGTATGAAGCACAATAGTATGTGTAATGTGTATGTGTATTTATAAAAACTTCTTCCGTCTACTTGTACTTATCAAACATATGCATGTATATACTGTATGTATACTGCATATGAAATTCAAGAAAGAATCATGATTTTTAGCATTATATTCTGACCACAGCTCTCTAGAATCAATCCTTCAAATAAATTGCCCCACCAACTGTGGGCTGCAGGACAGTGTGTTGACAACATCTCTCCAGGGTGTAAACTCAGTCACATCAAACCTGTTCAAGGTCTTCTCCAGTGTGAGCAGCATGTATGAGCTGATCCTGGAAAGAGAAGTGTCTGGAAGCTGCATTTGTGACACTTGGGATCTAACAGCTTTGGAGGTTTGCTGTGATCTTTAGTGATCTCCTGTCAACCCCCAACAAGCTGTATGAAGCACAATAGTATGTGTAATGTGTATGTGTAAAATTGTGTATGTCTCCTCAAATAAAGTGCTATATAAAAGGTAAAAAGGGGCAGTTTTGAAAACAGTCATAGACATTAAAAAAAATGGCAGAGCCATGTCATTGACTAGAAAGGCCAAAAAGTAATTCCCTAACAGAACACCTACCAACCACATAGCAACATCTTAACAACCCCAACATTGTGGTGCCACATTTTGCACCTAGAAAAGCACTAACATGTAACCAGCAAGCATGCTAAAAACCTAGCATTGTGGCATCAGGTTTTGCACCTAGAAATGCCCTAGCAATCACTCAGAACACCCCACTAGCTTTTTCGCATTTGGCTCCCAAACTCTGGAATAGCCTTCCTGATACCGTTCGGGGTTCAGACACACTCTCTCTGTTTAAATCTAGATTAAAGACACATCTCTTTGGCCAAGCATTCAAATAATGCATCTCATAATCTTTTACTGCAGTCATAATCTTTTACTGCAGTTATATCTAATCAAATGCACATTATTATTCGTTAGTTTGGGTTAAACAAATATCCCGTGGTAACTAGGATTTACACAAGCTTCAGTCTGGATCCAGAACACCTGAGAAGAGATGATGCAACCCCTCAGAGGACCTCAGATGATGCCAACCCTGAAACAACATACAGAACTACCACATTTTGCTACAAGTTTGATTGCATCATATAATAATTGCTGTTAATATTATTCATCGTCTGTTTTATTACGTCTTATATTGATTTTTCTGTACTGCTGGTTCGTCTGGTCAGAGGAGAACTGGCCCCCCGACTGAGCCTGGTTTCTCCCAAGGTTTTTTCTCCATTCTGTCACCGATGGAGTTTTGGTTCCTTGCCGCTGTCGCCTCTGGCTTGCTTAGTTGGGGACACTTCATTTCCAGCGTTATCGTCGACATGATTGCAAAGATATTATTTAAACTGAACTGAGCTGGATGTTGACATCACTGAATTCAATGATGAACTGTCTTTAACTGAAAAATGAGTGTTTACTATTGTCATTTTGCATTATTGACACTATTTTCCTAATTAATGCTGTTCAGTTGCTTTGTCACAATCTGTATTGTTAAAAGCGCTATATAAATAAAGGTGACTTGACTTGACTTGACTTGACTAGCCACACAGCAACATGCTAATAACCCTAGTATCATGGAACCTAGTTTTTGCACCTAGCAAAACATCCAGCAACCACATAGTAACACGTTAAAATTGTGGCCCTGAGTTTTGCACCAAGGAAAGAACTAGCAATCACCCAGAATGCCCCAATAACCACATAGCAATACACTAACATTGTAGCAACTAGCAAAGCACTAGGAATCACCCAGCAAAACACCTTAAAAACAACATAGCAACACGCTAACATCCCTAACACTGTGGCCCCGAGTTTTGCACCTCCCTGCTGAAAAAAAATAAACCAACCTAAGCTGGTTGGCTGGTTTTAGCTGGTCCTCCAGCCTGGTCATAGCTGGTTTGCAGGTTGGTTTTAGAAGGGTTTTGGCCACTTCTTTAGCTGGTCAGGCTGGTCTTTGCTGGTCAAGCTGGGAGACCAGTAGAAACCAGTATCTTCCATCTTAAATCAGCTAAGACCAGCCAACCTTAGGCTGGATTTAGCTCTTTTTTGTTTTCAGCAAAGCACCCAGCAAAACACCCCTTATGAAAATTAACCATGGTTTTTACTACAAACAAAACAATCAACAACAAAAAAAACTTACTATAGTTAAACCAAGGTAACCACAAATTAACCATGGTTTTGCTACACTTACCATATTTTAATCATGGTCTTTGTAGTAAAACTGTGTTCATACAAATAGTAATCAATACGCTGAAAAACCATGGTTCCTACATTTTTACTATAATTAAGCCATGGTTAATTTTATTAAGAAACCCATCTACATAGGAACACCCCAACAACTCTAACACTGCGGCAAAAAATCTGAATGTTTTATTAGATTTTGTTGTGGCATTGATAATTGTAGAACTCAATAAATACAAGATACAGAATGTGAAATAAAAATATTCAGACAATTTACACATGTCCAAAGCACTAGCATTCACCCTGCAAACACCTAGCAGAACGCTAACAGCCTTATTATCATGGCGCCAAGTTTTGCATAGGCAAGCATCATTGACATTTTCATCAGTTTAAAATTTTAAACTGGTTAATAAGGAAGAGATTGTTCTAATTGATAAGAAACGTTCTCCAGTTCTGAAACATTCAAACTAGCAGTAGTAAACCCAGAGAACTGAGCACACAGAGAGTAAGACACTTTGACATCTGTTGCGACAGAAACTACAGTAGCCGATAGCGCAAACTTTTTTCTCACACAATGTTTAGCACAATTGAGTCTGGGCTGGATTATTAGACAAGCAAATCGTTTGATTTACCTCATCTACATAGTTTGTCGTGTATCAAAGATTATGTAATGGAGTGGGAAGCGGGAAGCGGCATCAGCTTTTCTGTGGGTAATGAAATATGACTGCTATCATATGAAACAGGCAGATGTTTGTGGTAGAGCTGCAGAGAGAGTGAGAGACAGATAGAGGAGGCTCTGATCTGTGCTATGAGACAGACGGCTTACATGCTTGTGAGTATTTGCATTGTGCCAGGTTAAAGTGCCTCCTCTGTTAGCAGAATGCTGCATGGAAACGGCCTTGACTAAACCGCCTCACGCTGCTTCCCACAGTGTGTGTGCAGCTATGCAAACAGATACATGCTTATCACACACCGCGTGCCTGGAAAAGCGTGTGAATGAATGTGTGAGATAGAGTGCATGAGAGGCTTTCTTTGAAAGCATGTGCTAAAAAGATACTCCATGTGTGTGTGAGTTACTCCTACAGGAGTTATTTAAAGACCCCTGACCGGACTGGCATGTATGGTTGCTGATTCTGCCCTTCTCTGCCCAACCGTAATATGTAATTTCACCACAGAGAGCAGCCTCAATCATCTCGTGTGTGTGTGAGATGCAAATTCATCACATTTCTGAGACCATCTTCATAGCAACCACAGTGGAAAACAGGATTGCTGAAAGCCCACGCCCAAAATATTAAGTGCAACTTCACTGTCCCAGAGAGCAAAAATAGCTCTGAAACAGAATAGACTAAGCCAACAGGACATCCACCACAAGTAAAACTTCTATATTAAACCATGTTCACAATGTTTATAACCTTTTCCAGGCTTTTTATTTTTGAAAATGAAAAATACCTGAAGGTTTTTGACTGAACATTGCTAATAAAACACTACAATGTTTTCTTTTCTGTCCATTGTACCGTCTCTGTCCCACTCAACTTGGTCATTCCATTTAAGTTTTTGACCTGCTGTTTAAAAGGACAGTTCACCCAATTAATTAAGCAACACTCTAGCAACTGCTTAATAACACCCTAGCAACCACCCACAGCATAGGATTGTGACAGTGGGTTTTTAACAGGCATCTTCTTCAGAAAATGTAAAAAGCTAGTCTAAATTTCTACACTGTAACTACTAGGGCTGGGTATCGTTCAAAAATATTCGATACCGATACCGATACCTTGACTTC